TTGATCAGGGAGGATGCATGGGTGGGGGAGACTTAGAAGGGAGGGAGGGAGGGAGGGAGGAAGATTTCTGATGCTCCCTGCCAGCTTTCCACAAGAAAAGTCAATGGGAAACCCAGCAGTAAGCCAGAAGTCGCTCCTGCTCCCACTGCTTTTTTGCCCGCCCGTGGTCATTCTGTTTCTCTGTTTAGGTAAGGAAATATCTCTGAAATGATGACCCAATGGGTCACGGGTTGTCTAGTTCTAAATAAAAGTGACTGTGAATGTTTTCCCCAAAGAATCCATATAATGTCTCATAATTCTATCACCACCAATATTATGGGAATATCCATTATTCTTAATCTCCAATGTTTCTGATTGTGTGAACTGCTCCTTCATGTCAACACATGCAAGAAAACTTTGCTTATTCCCAAGTATCAGATATTCATTCCTCTCTAAAAAGAAGTACTCACCACTCTAATAAATTCAAACATCTCTATAATAGCAGAATTCATCAGATTATAGCGGGATCCATTGTTGAGAAATGCTTTGACCACTGGTTCAAACAAAAAACTTTTCATTATATAGCGATTGTAAAATTCATCCTTCAATCCAATTATCTTCCTTTTAAAACGTAGGGCACCTAGTGAAGAAAATACATATTTTCAATAGTGAAAAACAGCTACTTTCACTCATCTTGTGCAAAACAGTCCAAGGATTAAATCAGATATGTAACACTGTATCTACAGACATCTTCCTACATGTTCACAGACATACTCCACTTGAGTTTAATATTTTAAGATTCTTTTAACTAAAAAACTAGCTATCATTTTTATTTACATAAAGGCCTATTTTAGCATTTTTAGAAAATAAGGCATGATTTTCTGCAGTCCAGTGCTTTTTGGAATTCTGTTCCCTATTCCGAATTTTTAAAAAAGGTAAAGAAAGTATACTGGGGATTCAACAGTGGTGATCATACTGGGGATTCAACAGTGGTGATCATGTACAACCTCATTTATTTGTGTTCCAGTAAATGTATGTTTTACAACTGCCCATGCCATTCTAATTTCCAGTTGTACCTACCACACTGACCAATAAAAACTGCCTACTCTTTGGTTAAGAAGTTTGTGATGGTTCTTGGGTTGCACAACTTATTGTCAAAAAGTGATAAATAGACATGTAATATTGCATAAATGGACTTCTAATTGTGCAATCAAAGTTCTCTTCTATCCGTAGCCCCTATGCACTGCCAAATTCTACACTGAAACGTCACCCAACTTTGCAAAGCGGATTTGAAAGGATACATGAAGGGGAAAGGGAATTAAATTTTTTTAAGAAGCCATTCTATCTGTAGATAGAGTTTTGTTTATACTATAGCAAAAAGCAAAGAAGCAAAGTCTGTTGAGACTGGAAATACATCAACAAGAGGAACAACAAAACTACACAGAACAAGGACAAGCTAACTTGGGCTTTCCAGTTATTTTTGCACATTTCCTATCAGTCTGACCACCATGGCCGATAGTAGGAATTTGGAAATTACATCCAAAACATCTCAAAGATATCAGTTTGCCTATCCTTCATATCACTCATAACATGTATTAAGCTGTTGTATAAAAAAAGAAAATATACTTCACCATTCACATTAAGAGCTCTATAGAAGTTCTTTAAGAATATGTAGGATAACAATCTAGGTAAATAACAGATCTGCTCTTTTGGATGTAAGATTCGATATTGTTTGCCTATACATTCCTGGAATTCTTATTGTATTTAAGCTTTTAAATATCAGATATTTTTGCAATATAACACTTTCCAGTGTATTATTTTGAGGTCCACCCATGATGATTTAAGATGTAAGTATTCTCCCTTCTTTGGGTGTTAATAAACCTATATCTAGAAATTGGGGGGGGGGGGATACGGCTATGCAGCATTTTGGAGTCAGTCTCCAAAAAGTACCTAAGATCATGTGGAAGCACTTGTCTACAACATCTGATAGCACCATGCCTGTCCCAGGTTAGAGCAGCAGCTGTAAGGGCAACCACACAGTTCTGAGAAAAGGTATGCCTGCTTCAAGGTATTGCAGACAGATGCTATATTTATGCTCAGGAGTATCTTTTGGAGATCAATTTCAGAATACTGCACAGTGCCATTAAAAAGACAGCTAACACAAATATATTTTCAATATTACTATTTCATGTTTTATGTTTTCATTAAAAATAACAACAGGCAAATGAAAATATCTAAAAAGACTGCTGATACATAAAGGAGGAGGCCTATATTACATCATACTTACATAGTGCCAAGAATGCATGCTTTGAGGCCATTAGAACTAGCACTCTTCGAAGAATATCCTTGTTAATTATGTAGTTCTTTATATGATATGTATGATGTTCTACACAGAAAGTTAGTAACTCTAATATCAAGGCCAATAACTGGGCAGTCTGAAAGTCATCTAAAAGTAAAACAAATAATGCATTTGCTGATATACATTTCCATGCTTTTCAAAAGATGTCCTTTACATAGCTCACATTTTACTACCTGCAAAAGCTAAACATAAAAACATAAACACAAACTAGATTGGACTGCTTAATTTCCCTCTCAATTGTTGTCAGGCATATAAAGCAAATACATTTTGGAATTTAACACCACCAAAAAAACAAAAAAAAGCATAGCAGACTTTCTTTTCCTCTCCAATATTTCTTTAGTTCTTTTAATACAGAATGTTTGCTTCTTTTAAACAGAGTATAAATATGAACAAAGAACAATAAAACTTCACGTATTTATAAGCAGGAAATATGGGCTTAAGTGAAATACATTCACACAAGGTGTAATGTCAAACTACTTTAGATTGGGAACACATTAGGATGAAATTGGACCCCCATGCCTAATAGAAATATAGTAGAATGAAGTACCACAACAATCCTTACAGTACAGTTCTTCCTCATATACAAGCATCACTTGTCAATTTTATGATTGAGAAACAATAGTGCAAGAACCTCCTGAAGGCTCACCTTTGCTAGGCTTTTCCTCTGTAGTATTGGCCAGTAACGGTGCAGTGAGAACATGCATACAGTGTTTATAAAAGAATCCCAAGAATTCTGTCTTTTCTGTTTTCTATGAAATAAAAAGAAACCAATTTCTACTTAATGCATGCTAATCCTAATGCTTTAACAGGAAAAAAAAAAAAGTAAGAATGGATTTTTTTGCTTACATTGGCAGTAGCTAGCATGTTTTCTGGATCTACCAAGGTACGCAATAGGCCCATCAACTGGACTGCTCCTCCAAGTTCTGGATCTGTATCACAAATCATGTGTTCTATGATGAGGTTAATGAGCAAGATATCCTAGTTTAAAAAAAATAAAACACCAGAAACATTAAGCACACAACTAAAAGATGAAATATACCAAAAAGCAATTCTAGTTAGAGGCTTGAACTTATGGATCAGATGGAACTGTGTTTCTGTATCAGCATCCACTTATCCTGTACTTTTTCAAAAAAGTAAATGTGTCCCAAAGTAGTTATATTGATATCAGACAAAGATTTTAAGATAGCATCAAAAAAGAGAGAAGATAAAGATCTCAGTAAGAGTTATAATTCTTTTTCTCCAGTGCTTGTTCTATGAAGGCAGCAAAAAACAAATAGGGACAGACGGTATTTATGTAATGTGACTGCCAATGATCCACAGATACTGAGTCAACTGTAGAACTTGACAAGTACAAAATTAAAAAATATTTATAATAGGAAATATGCAGCAAGGGACTGAAATAAAGACTTGGTATAGACAGCAGTGAACACATCTTTGAGAGAGAAGCATTTATATTTTACCTTGAAAAAAGTGATATTGCCCACCTCCTCAAGCCATCACTTGACCTGGTTATTTTAGACAACTACTGTCTTGTCTGCAAACTTCCCTTTTCAGCAAATATTGTTACAAAGAACTACAGAGAGTCCTGGATAAAACAATTTATCTGGAGTGCTATCAGCCAGGGTTCAGCCAAGGCATGGAACGAAAACCATATGATTGTTCTGCTGGATGATAATTTGTGGGACTGGGATGGGGGAGTACAGCCCTCCTGGTCCTACTGAATCTCTTGGTAGTTTTAGATACCATGGCCGTAATATTTTCTGAACATGATGTGAGGGTTGGGACTAGGGGCATTGTGTTGCAGTTGTTCTCCCTAAGTGGCTGCTTCCTATCAGTGATTGTGGAGGACGGAAGATTGAGCCCAAAGGTCTCTACTGTGTGATGCCACAAGGTTTGGCTTCTTCTCCCTTGCTATTTATCATCTACATGAAGCTGCTGGGTGAGACCACTTATACCATCAATATACAGACAAGAGCGTGGCAAAAAACATATTCAGACTGAAACCTAGCAAGTACAGTGGCTGTGGATTTCAAGGCCAAGTGAACTGGAATATAGTCAGTCCTTAACTCTAGACAAGGTTGCATTCCTCCAGACTGAGCTGATTTATAGTATGAGGGTCCTCCAGACTGAGCTGATTTATAGTATGAGGGTCCTCCTGGACTCTCAGCTCCTGCTCAAACAGTAGGCAGAACCATGGCTAAAAGGGCTTTTGCGCAAACCACAATTGGCTGGGTTCTCACAGTACATTAAGCTAAAACCAAAGAAGTCAAATTATAATTGTAACATATAGACCAGGTTAGTGTGTCTTATTGCTAAAAGTTTACATAAAAATGAGTACTTTGGTGAATGCACATTGTTGACCCAATTATATAGTATGTAGTATCACAGCAACACATCCATGGGAAAATTGCCCCCCCCCCATGCTAATACTAATTGAAATAATCTGAACTACATGTTCTGGAAAAATTGCATTTTATTTACTAAACAACTCACTAAATGCCACTGTGAATTAAAATGTATTTCAGGATCTAACAAATTATGTATTATAACCTCTCAATTCAAGCAGTACCACTTTATATCATCTAAATTGGATCTATAGCATTTAACAGAAATATTTTCTGCCCAACAGAATTCAACATAAATAACAAAACTATGCCATGTGAAGGAACAGTTTTATTAAAATAATATAGTATGTTGTTAGTCAACTGTTTTCAACTGAAAGGCCACTTCATTATAATTGTATATCTGTGCATGGTTACCATAAATAATGAGGATTTATACACATGTGAGAGTACAGATAACTAATGGAGAAGGGGAGGACTGCTCAGTCCCTCCCAGTGGCAGTTCTTTGCATTTTTTACTCTGTGATGTGAGACATTTGGCCTCCACACATCCAGCACAGAAACCAAGGGGAGGGTTTCTGGAGAGAGAAGTAATGGCTCACCTGTAGCCCCCTACTTTTCTGTGTTTGCAAGGAGGAGAGAAACTTTAATAGCCTAATTCTCACTCATAAGAGGATTAAATATGATTACCATTAGGGTTAATAATAAGTAGGATTCTCAAATAATAAGTTAAAGGAATTGATTTGCAAATGCCAGTTATATGAGGAAATCTCATCTGTAACAATAATGGTTAGTGCTGATTAAGTAATACTGAACCATAGTTCTAGGCCTGGGAAAAAACAAATATGTGCTAGGAAAATAAAGGGGGGATGATTGTGTATTCCTCAAGCTAGGCCCTAATCTGTAAACTCACTTGCAGGAAGTCAGTGACAGATTATTTAGATGAGGTTCTTTATCAAGTTTCTTCGAGTTAAATAAATATTACATAATTTATAATCCAACACATCCGAAGAAGTCTGAAGAGGTTTACTGTATGTTATGCAAAATTGAGAGCCACAAATTTATATAACCGTAAGCTATTTGTAAAGTTATACAAAATTAACTCTTTCAACAGTTCTGAAATAAATTTTTATTCATGTTCTTTATTAATGGAAGCATAACCAAAGATCACCTACTTACATCATCATTCTGCTGAGCTTCTTGCATGACAAATTCTCGTACCATAGATGGGTTATATTCAACCAAATATGAGAATATATCAGTAGCCGCACTTCGCACTTGGGCATCATCCATGCCCTGCAAACAAACAAAAACAGTCTGTGTACATACAGTGGAAAGGCACGACGAAAAAATTTATTTTTAATTATTTTAATTCACTTATTTATAATTTTTTAAATTTTATAATTTATAAAATTTATAATTTTATTCTATATTACTGCCCCAATCTTAAAATATTCTCCATTTTTCAGACATAAATGCAGTTCAGGCTTGTTTGTTTGGCTTTGTGTAAGACAAACAAAATGTGTTTTTCCTTGATTAAAAACTTTAGGATTTTTTTAGGCTTTTCCTCTTTTTCTGTTTGCCTGTGTTTTTGTTCTACTCCCTTTTATTTCTTGGCGACACCATGATAGGACAGAATGTAAATCACATATATACTGTAGTTGAATCCAAACATTAAATTGGAAATATTATGGAAATATTATGGAAATATTATGTTACACACATTAAGATACAGAGATTGAAAACTTACTAGTATGACTTCTAGTGCTGGAAGAATGCCCATATTTGACAATGTTTTGAAGAAAGCATCACGGTTTTGAGGTTGTAATGTTTGAGAAAATGCACAAAACTCTTTAAGGAAATTTACCTGAAACACAGAAAAAAGACCATATTTATCAATAAAAAGAAAGCAACAACTGTCTTTTTAAATAATTTTTTAAAATATTCCTACCAATTCTTGTCTTTTCTCTTCATCTGTAGCTTCATCTGTAAGTTGTGCAAATAGGTCTGTCAAAAACTTTTCATCTTCCTATCAAAATAAAACAGGAATCACCCAAATTATATTCAAGAATTTGAATTAATGCTAAATATCTATAATGTATCTTCTATCACCCTCCTCTAGGCGAACAAGCACCCTTTACAAATCTGGTAACTTGAATGGACAACTATGTACATCACTGGTATGTGCTCAATTTAACAATACTGTAGAAAATAAATTTGATTTTGCTCGAAGAACAAATTCACACTAATTTTAGAAGCCAGAGAGATTATCTACAATATCTATAAGTCATACATGCATATGGTACATATGCATTTTCTATATAGAGATCACTGAATATCAGAATTTAAGGCGTTTCAGCAGTCCTAAGATCTATCATTCAAGCACATCTAGATTACCTACTAGAATGTTCTTAAACATTCTTAAGTGACCAGGCTTAACTGCATTTCAAGCACCTAAGGTGTTATATAATATAACAAAGAGTCTTGCAGAGACCTGCATAGAAATCACATCATGCTAACCAATTACTCTTCAGTTTATTTCTTTTACTTTTCCTTGTTCAGTGGATGGCCTAGATACAATTTTCAGCACATAAAGTTGTACAACATATCCAATACGTTTTTTGCAGACAAAATGTTATTTAATTTTCAGTTTAATTGAAATCAAGTACTTATTTTAAAACATCCAAAGATAATGGTATTTGCACACTGGTTTGCACCTGTTCTAACTACTACCTCCCATTCTTAAGACTAAAAATGGATGAGTTTTAAAAAGTAGCAATAAAACTTTGTTTAATATTAAACTAAAACTACTACTATTTCAAAACTTAACACAGGCCATCAAAAGCCAAGCCCCAATAAATAAATGAATAAAGGTTTATTGCTCTAAACAAGGAAGAACAATGATCTTCACTTCTGTTTCATCATATTTCAGAATGTGATCTAACTTTTGTTCTTTGCAGGTGGTTTACTTTTAATAGTTCCTTGAAAGGTACATACAACATTTCTGTTTTCATTATTCCAAATGCATTTTTATTGCATCTAAAGGCATGAATATGAAGTTCCTATTAATACTATAGAAAGTATCTTTAGCCTTTTGATGCCATACCATCATAAACCAAGGTAGATGATATGAGGATTTAAAATAATTAATTAAAGTTGATGCTTAAAATGTAAATAGATTTGTTTAAAATATTTTAATACTTTCTTATACTGTATTATTAAAAAGGAGTCTATCTCAGAGATATCACAAACAGTAATCTTTACTCCAAACTACATTCTACAAACTTGCTTGTAACACCAGGATCTGGAGATAGGAGATAAAAGCGCAGGTGTCCTATTCTACAGGTGGTGTACATAGCTACACATCCAATCAAGCCCTTATCCTTTTCTCTAAAATGCAATGACAGACGTACAAGGAATATATGATTTGGAGCACAGATTAGATAATGAAACAAGTGACAAGAACATGTTCATGCAAGCCCAAGAAAACTTATGCTAAATGTCCACTATTGATCACAAACAGAAATGACTACCATTTTATTTGATTTATACAGCCACCCATCTCATTTTTATGTAACTCTAGGCAACTATACTAACCAATCAGAAAAGAGATCCAACTTGGAATATTTTAATGGAGTTGCTATAACTTAAAACATTTTAATATGAAGACACCTTGAACAGTAATCCTGAAATAATTGTTTCTGAGAAAAAATAGGAATTGGAAAAACTGGGAAACTAATGTTTCTTTTTTAGATTATAAACAATGCAAACATAAAGAAAAAGATAGCTGTATCATATGTGCTGAACTCGCTTTTTAAAAAAATTACATCTACAATAAACAATTCAGAAATACATTTTAATTAAAATTAATTTTTATTAAAACATTATTTTGATTAGTTTTTATTCCACAAACAATATAAACAAGGTTTTTAATACAATGTAAAAGCAGCTTAATAATGATGATAATTCTTCCCTAAGTTTATCATGAAAAAATATCCTCCAAACAGTCATAATTAATTATACTGGGAATGGAACTGGTTTACCTCCTAATGATTTCTCAACTCTGTTTCTGCTTTTGTATTAAATATCATCCAATTATTTTACAGCATTAACATTAATCAGAAAAAAAATTGCTTCATAATAAGTCATACTTAGAAAATAAACACATGCCTATCTTTGAGAAGAAATTAATATATACTAAGATTATGTCAAATAACAAGAATGTACTTCATTTATTGTCTCAATAGCAATTTAAGTAATTAAAACTGGGTTTTAATCTGAATAATTCCAATCTACCAGGTACTGACATATCTATTTAACATATTACCTTACTTTTTAAAATGTTCATTTTGTTTTGTATTATATTACCATTTCACATCCTTTCCTACACATTAATCTTTTTATATTAGACCTTCTTAAATTACAGCTGTATTATTTGATTAAGCCCTTATTCTGACTGTTTACTGTTATTAGAAAAATTTGTAGCATTTTATTTTGGTAAATCTAATCCATTTATCACCTTTAATGTTATTCAAGACAGTAACAAAGAAGGTAAATAAACCAGTTTTGTAAGAATCAGTTTCAAAGGAGATCTAGCATTATCATTTGACGACACTTAGCCTCCCTTAGCCAACATGCTTTTGAAATAATTTTTTGTTTTGAAAATGGATTATATGGCTTCTATTTAAATGATTTAAGAACCTTGGCCTTTTATAAAATTACTTTAAAAACAACAAAACAGCAAATATCTTGAAGTAGCAAATACCTTGAAATAATAAAAAAAAACTACTGTATTTTAATAAAGCCTTATTTATATTCATCTCAAAATAACAAATGCTTTGAAAAGGAATGACAATTTTTCACCATATAGTACAGCAGTCAAATTCATGTTATCTCCATATAAAGCCTCACAGTAGTTGTTAGTTCTAATTCATTTATCAAACTTTTACACTACTGTATTTCATAATAATTTTCCAGTGATTAACAATATAAATATAAAATTAAAGTAAAATAACACAATAAATACCCATAATAATAAATAACCTAATCCAATCCTAGAGTGCCTATGTCCTTTAAACCCTGAAGGTTCTCTGATAACATCCCTAGCACTAATGATGTTACCTAGTTGGGTAATGAAACATCTGCAAACAACCAACCAAGCTCAGAGAGCACCAAGGATTCTAGAGTTAAACCCTGAGCTACATATATTCTCTTCTGTTGGTTCTCTGATACAACTTGTCTTAACTAGCATCAATAAAGCCATCAAGGTTGATGTCTGGCTTCAGGAGACTACTTCTGGGCCTTTGTTTCCCTCACCTCCTGAAAACAAGGGATTCTCAGTAGCTTTGAAAAGTGTACTTTAGGTCAATTCCATTTGAAAAGGTGGTCCTGAAAGTATCTGCAAGCCAAGTTGATGATGAATGCCTTACAATATTCTGCTAACTGTGGTCTCCTCTATTTTTTTTAATGCATTAGAAAGATTTGGGCTATTAGTTAGGGCCACAAGAAACCAATACTAATTTGTTTTTACTCAAAGGCTGGGATTTAAAGTATCCCTGTGCATTACTGCTTCTTTTTATTCATATTAGAGCAACCAAAGGGGAAGCCAAAACATTTTGCTTTAAAATGATCTTGTTGCTCTAATAAATATATAATTTAACACATCTGTCTTAATAGTGTTTATTGCTTTAGAATTGTCTATATGTAAATATAGTGTGTAAGTACATACCTATGCACACAATCACGCTGTGTCAAATATTTTGGTAACACAAATGTATATTGGAATCCAAGACAATTTTTATGTTTTTCCCCCTTTATCTTTATCTATAGAACCAATGGTTTCTGTTACATTCTCCAGGCATTTTACTAGGAATTGCCTAGTAAATTCCTACCAAACAATGAACATGAGGAATGATTCCACATAATGTGGAAATTGGACGGGAGTGGATCCTGAAGGAAAATTCTGTATCATAAAAACTCCAAACAGTACTATTTTATGTGCTGCTTACATGTTTTGTAAATGTATAAAAATATTTTTCTGAATAATTTTGTCTCATCAAAGCTTCAACACTTCCACTGATGCTACAGCTCTTGTGCCACATTAACTAAGATCACACTAGGTATTCTGATAACAGTAACATCTGAAAAATAATATCCACCACTATATTATTTTAACAAACAAGGTTGAAATATTTACAACCTTTTCTAAAAGCTCCTTTTTAGGACTGTTCTTCCCAAAGGGATACACGGTGGGATATGCAAAACACATTAAAAAAGATCACATCTATAGAAAACTCATTCATCAAGTTGCTCTGCTAACATGTTACAGTAACAGATACATTCTGAAAGAGAAACAAGAATGAAAAGTACTGGATTTATTAGAAGGGAATTTAAAACATCTGGGCCATTGACAAGGCGGCCTATTCTTAGTTCATGCCTACTTTATTGATATTAGCAGCAAATGCTAAGGTAAACCCCAAAATAGCATTCGGGCAGAATTGTACAGGTGAAGGCAGTTATTTGGCTAACCTGGACTATGCTATTAAAGTTTTAAAGTATGGCTTTATTCTTTAACAGAATAACATAGCCAAGCAAATGATGTAATATTGGAGTTATGTATTTACATTTTCTGGCCCACACCAGCATTTGCGAGGTTCTACTTTTTATCAACTGAAACTTCCACACATATTCAGAGGCAGCTCTTGATAAAGCACATTACACTTGGAAATAGCTCAGATCCAATCACTCAAGATAGGCCCCGACTGGAATATAACAAGACCATAGAAAGCACTCCTGGTTACTGCTGCCACCTCCCAGACAGCGACAAATGGAAGAGGCCATTGTCTCAAATGGTATTCTTGGGTGTAAAAGAGCAGCAGAGCTATATGTCAACAGACTGATCATCTCAAACTGTCATGGGGTGAATAAGAAAAGATCAGAAGTCTCCCAATTTATCTTCTATAATAGAACATCTAGGAAGAAACACTAGCAATGTGACATTTAAGGTCTACATGCTCTAAGAGGATTCTATGGACAATGTGATCATATGCCACCTAAGATCAAGTAGGACCAAGACATTGGTACTTCCATTGCCATGCAGTCTATGTAAGTCATCTACCACTTTCCATCCAGCACTCAAGATATCTGAAGGGCTGTCACACAGAAGCAAGAATGGACTTATTTTCTATTGCCTCAGAGGAAAGGATCAGAACCAATGGATTAAAACCACAAGAGTTTCAGGCTAAACATCAGATGAAATTTACTGTCTGTATGAGCTGTCAGGCAGTGGAATAGGCTGCTGCATGAAACTGAATTCTTCTTCAAACAGAGGCTGAATGGTCATGTCAGATAACGGATCCTACACTGAACAGAGTATTGGACTATAAAACATCTAAAGTCCCTTTCAGCTATATGAATCCATTGATTCTCTATCATTTCCAGCCCTGGTTAGCAACCTTCAAAATCTCCTGAAGCTTAAATACACCCCTTCCCACCCAAATCTTATTCAGAAACAGCATGCTAGAATCAGTAGTATTTGCACAAAATGTTTCTTTAACAAGAGCAAAACCCATGCCATTAAAAAACAAAACAAAACACTAGTTTGGATGATTCTACTAATATCTGGTACAACTGTAAGAAGCATTCTCAAAGCACATCTCTAAACCAGCTGCTCAAGGAACCGTATTCTTGAGAAAACTGAGTGTAGCCCCTACATCAATTGAACATGTGTGCCCAGGCACAGATGTTTTCACCAGGACTCCCCTTGCTATGCCAAGTGTAAAAATATCTGTCCTTGCTTTGTTGACAGCTTTTGCATTCTTTATTAAGAAAAGCCCAAAAATGTTATATAGTAAAAATTCTCTATTCATTCTAAGGAATTTTTTTTTTAGCATTTTAAGCCTTATAATTGTAACAACCTCTAATGCTGCATAGGGAGGCATAAACATTTCAAATTCAAACTGTTCTGAGTTCCTGATTCCAATGCAAACTGGGTTGTCTTTATCATTTGGGAAGTGTTTCAAATTAGAAGCCAAGAGTTTCAAGGATGAAACACTTCCAAGATTATTAGAATGTAAAATTGGCCTGTCAAAAAGCAGTTTCACACTCCAAGCAAAACATTTCAAAGTGGTTCAAATTCAAAATACTTTCCTCACCCCATCTCGTACTTACGGCACTTGTTTGTTGTGAAGGATGTATTGTCAACATGAAATGCAGTACTATCTTTAACAGTAAGGCTGTGCAAGATCCAATCTATAGATAGGAAAAAAACCCCAATTTTTTAAAAAAATCCAGACTTACCTGTAACATACCAACTATTTCTACTTTATTAAAAAATATGAATGAATGAAGAGTAGACAACATGTTTTCCTCAAATACCGAAGGAGTAGGTAGAACCATATCTTGAATATACTGTACTCTGTATGTCTGATGTATTTTTTGTTTCAGCTCCGGATCAGATATTGGAATAACTTCTTTAAATTTTGCAGTTTTTGTCAGAAATTCCCTGTGTTTCCGTGACTGTGATAAAGAAGGATCATATTCTAGACATCCAATTACATCCATTATACATTCTTCAGAAAACATGACTTCAAAAAGTGCAGTTCTATTCAAGAGGAAGATTCCCTTAATAATTTCATACAAATGGTGTAGTCCTTCAGTATTTTCCAAGTCCTCACACACATGAAAAATTTCTAAGAGTTTTTTTATGTAGCCCTCATTTTCAAGTGCTAGAGCGAGTTTTTCACGCCGCAGTGGGGAAGGCAGTGAAGATGCCACAAGTTCTGCAATCTCTTCTAATCGATTTAATTCACAGGATGGTAACTCTAGACCTGGAGATGACATATCATCAAAGCGTTCCTCTTCAGATTCATCCACAAGATCCTGAGTAATGTCCACCGAAGGGTCTTTTCCCTGAACCTGTTAAAGTGAAAGAAAACTAGAAGGTACACCATTTCAACTGCTGAATGCCTACAAGTATGTACCGATATTTTACTATAAAGTTATTTTTATAGTAAAATATATATCTGCATCAATTAATGCAAAATGAAAAGCACTAAAAAAATTAAATATGCTACCAAGCATCAGAAATCAAAGTCATGAAGCAAAGAGTTCAATTACATAAAAGGCTATGCTACTAGAGCTAGTATTTCAAATGAAGATGTATATAAATTAAAAATTAAAGGTAGCATTTCTGGTGCAAAATCCTTAAAGCAACTTCTTTGATGCAGCCACTAATACTATGTAATGAGTGCACACTGCTGACAAACATCTGTATGTTTATCACCCTTTCCTAGTGGCATCAGAATATTATGTAGCCATGCACTTTTATATTCTGTTTGACTAGTAATATTTCTAGTTCAACATATTCATTTTATTTTTTGTAAATCATGTTGAATCTATCCACATTCAAGATGGCACGTCAATAATTTATAGTTTTCCAGATGGTGATGAAGCCTATTATAAATTGAACTGTGCCATCTAGATATTCTCCAGTTTCCTGATCTATATATGCAAAGCTAAAAATAATATCACTAGCCTAAATTAGAATATAAATATTTGCTCCTGGTATCTTAGCACTACTTGCTTTGTGAGTTAAGGATCTGCTTACATCCCAATAATATAGAACAATGGAGCCATTTTTTTTTGTACTAGTCCATAATCAATAAGTCTTGCTGTTTTATTTACTAAGGCTGTTTAGTGCTTTGAATTTGTACGGAGAAATGTGTTTCAGAGCAAAAAGGAGTGTAAACCTAACACACGTCTGGAATTTCTTAAAACAGCTGCAAATAATCCCAGGAAAAGACATATTTGGTTTAAGGAGCTGTAGACCTATGCTATTTTCTTCCCCTGGCATTCCCTAAAGCACCTTTTTGCATTCAAATCAGAAGCGTTATACAGCCGTATTATTTAGTCTATTTACAATATACAACTTTAGTCTACTTACAACTCCTTTAGTCTATTTACAACTACAACTCTAAAAACACAGTGTACAAATTTCAACAGCTGAAACTTCTGAGAGAAACGAGAATAACTATTTAGTATTGTTAATAGCATTAATTATGGCAGATAAACATTCAGGGGAGACATCTTACCTGACATATTTTTTCCCATATTTCATCACAACCAGCTTTTTCTTGAAAGCTAAGAGCCAGGTCATAGTTCTCTGCTTCAGACCACACAATCAGCGTGTCCTACAAAATTATAAATACACACACACACACATTTATTTATTTATTTATTTATTTAGTAGAGCTATAGTCAGTCAGGACATGCAACACTTCCAGTCCAAAGCAGAAGAGGTGCTATAGCGGCACTTTGGGCACAAATGCTATACACCTGTTGGCACCTCCTTAAAGAAGTGGTCTCTTTTCCTGGGCTCACATGATACCCATGCAATCCTAGGAACATATGCATTTGAGGTAAGAAGGTCAACAAGGTGCTTCAGAGGAGAGACAGCTACAGAGCAAGCCTCTTCTCACCTCAGTGGTATTTATTGGGACTGTACATCTTCAAATATATCTAAGCATATAAAAGATTATCTAAGTATTACTGTAATTGTTACTTTCCTAACAACACTGCAAAGAAACGCATATATGTAGCACAATGGCAATATCCACACAATATACATTTAGCAAGTGAAATACAGTTGCCTGGCTCATTTATTTAAAATTGATTTTATATCAATATCATAATGTTCTGTGGCAGCTGATTAATTATACAGGATAATTTTATGTTAAAATATGCTTTATCTGATTCTGCACATCCATTCTGAAAAAGGGCCAAGTTTTCACAGTATTTTATTCTCTTTTCCATATCATGAACACATTCTTAACTACTATCACCCTAATTTATCCATTCTTAATTAAATAAGACATCCCTTAATTATTTTAATTGATTTTTTGTACTACTTCACACTCCCTGATTTGGGTGTGTGTTGCATTCAAACTGCACTGTAGTAATTCTACCTATTTTATCAATTAGTCTCCATGTGGCCATAATACTAAAAAATACCTTTGACTTTTAGTTTTGTTTCATTCTGTCCATTCACAATTAATTTATCAATTTGTACCCATTCTTTATTTTTAGTAGAATATCAAATGACTGTAATGTTTGTTACACATTTTTATAAGACTCTTGTTGAAATTTTTTGTTTAGGTATGCATTTATAATATTAGCAGATTGATGTAGTATGATCACCAGAAACTTGGTGAATCTTTTACAAGAAGGTGTACTTGCCTACATGAGAAAATGTAATCACTAATTTGACTGATCAATCATAATTTGTTGGTATTTAAGGTGATATAAAAACTGTTGTTTTAATAAAATTCATGAGATCCCAGACTTGTAAAAATACTGAACAAACTAGTTTAAGGATGACAGAAACTCATTTCAAACCACAGCTGTAGTATGCTCTTTGTCCTGATCTTTACTGAAGCATGGATGGAAAATTTAGAAGTTTTCCCCCAAATCCCTAAGTAAATCTAGTTTAAAAACGGCTGTGCTAATCAGACAGAAAGACTGGATATATAATGGCATATTTCCCTGCACTCCAAGTTAATTAGATAGACAATTTCATTACTCCAAACCTTTTTTAGGGTTCATTTCAGTAGCAGAGTTAATATAAAAGCTAGATTGAGCACAACACCACGATTTGTATAACTAGGATGTGTCTTCATGTGGAAGGGAAGAAGTTGCAAGCTTTCAATCACAGTTTGGAACAAGCTATACTTTTACTTTATGTGTGAATACAAGAAACTATTTTGATCAAGCTATAATCAGATTAATCTTAGATGCAGAAAAATACTACTGTCTGTTTAAACTATAATGGAAAGTTATAAACTATCTCTGCTTGCAAAAGTGAAAAAAAAAAGAGAAAGAGAGAAGGGAAATGCATGGAGCCAGAGCTCATGCCTTCTCATTACAATACATCATTAAGAAGATTTTTTAGGATATATGGGTATGTATGTGTGTGTGTGCACAGAACAAGAATAATCACTAAATATAACAACTTTCCCATTCCTCTGATATAAAGTGGGGGAGGGAAAATTGACTGAATTCCTCCTATAAGTATCTGGTAACACTAACAAATCACATCCATCTAACTTACAAGCCTATATTCCAAAGTTTGAGATAAGAGTTTTAAAAATCTTCATAGAACAAAAGATTCTGCAATTACCAAACCATTAATGAGCAACTGCATTTGCTGTTGCAAATCAAACATAAGGAAATATATTTTTAATATCATAGTAGAAGTTCACAGCATAGGTGAGTACATTTTCATCAATCAACTTGAAGCTTATGAATTTGAAATTAATTTGTAGGACTTTCATATTAACTTTTGTTTAGTATTCTATTTTAACTTTAATAAATTGCTGTAATTTTGTTTTACCAATTCTTTGTCTTTATCATCATGACAGTTCCAAAAGAAGCACGTTTTACTTAATTATAAAGAAATATAACTGACTAATCTGTTACCTGTTGCTTCTGATATGCAGTATTGGGGTTGATTTTGGACTCCAGAAGAAGAGAACCTGAAGAGCAGGGGAAAAAATAGTAATATTTTGAGCTAATAAAATATTTTTTTAAATGTATATACTATACCACATTTTAAAGGTATACTTTAAAATTAAAAGACCTATCTACTAGGTAGATAACACTTGCCTATTTGAAGAGCAATTTATTCACTATTTATCCTGTAGAGAGTTATTCTTGGGTCTGTCAATGATTAAAATCTTATAATATTTAAAAACAAAGCAAGAGTTAGACTGGGCAAGCAACTGTTTTCAAGTTAACATTCTGGACATGTTTTCCCTCTAATAAAATATTCAAGATGAAAAAAACTATGGGAAAAAATCCAGATGGAAGAATCAACAAATCATACCTTTCCTAAGCTTTTGGAAGGGATAAACAGAAAGCCTGTCACTATTTTGTACAATCAGAAATGTAGTACAGAGGCAGTCAATGATACAGAGAGAAGCCAGAAAAGCTACTACAAATTTCATAAAAAGAGCACCACATATGAAACTGTGCTTTTTTAGCCATGTTTAATAGCCCAGTCATGCTATCGAACCTTGAATCATTTAAAATATTAGGTGGCAATATGAACCTTCCAGGCTTGAACTGAAACAAGTCTCTAAAGATTATTTCCCAGATCACTGAAACTACTGATTTGAGCTCACTGTCCCAGTTAGAAAGAAGCAACATGCTGTATGCAAAACAAAAGATTTTCTCCTACCTTCAGCTATAGTTCTGTAATTTATCAAATCAGTGGATCAAAAGAACTAGGCTTTTTTCAACCTGATATCATCCAGATATGTGGACATACAATCATGAAATCTGGGAACTGTAGTCTACAACATCTCCAACCACCAGATTTTATTTATTTATTTATTTGAATTTGTAAGCCACCCAACTCCAATGGACACTGGGCAGCCTACAAAACTAGAAAAAAACATAAAAACAGATAAAACTTATTGATAAGGCTGAATTAGAGCTGAGAAATTAGGGTGGTGGTGGTGGTGAAGAGGTATTTATGTCAAATAGAGAGAATATGTAATTGTTCCTGAAACTGATTCCCAGTGTACATTGTCACACAGAACTATGCTAACACCTCTTTTACAATAAGATTGTGTAAAGCATTCTGAAAATAACTGAAAAATTCTTAAGAAAATAGAAACATCTTTCAGTTAAATCACAGAACAAAGCTGCTCTTAAAGTTATTTCCTCAAAGCTCAGCTAGAAGGAAGTTTTGCACTGCTAAAATGTCACAAAGTTCATGGTTAAATTATTAACACCCTCACTAAAGATGGTGTGTTTAGTTATGATTGTTGCCTTAGAGCATAAAGATAAGCAAAGTTTACTGAAACCGATAAAGGAAATTGAAACATTTTCACAAAATATCAAAAACACACTATTTACATATTTTAATATAAAAGTGGAGCAAATACTTCGAAATTATAAAAGAAGTATGTCCTTTCCCCCAAAATCTGTTTCAAATAATACTGAATAAACCTGAAATAAGACTAGAGTGAAATTTCTTATTACGATGCGTTAAATGTTGTATTGGTTTTATTGCTTTACAACGTGTCACCCTAAGAACCTCAGCCTTAAGAAAATGCACTTTTGACAGCAAGCCTTTATCTACTTTCCTAGGTACAAGCTCCACTGAATTCACAGAGTTCATTCTGGAGTGCAGCTGCATTGGTTTGTACTATAAACAGTTCACTATAGGTGAAGTATCACAGTAAAATCCTCATTTTATTTAAGCTTTGCATCATTATATCAGCACTATATCTGATTTTGGTGAATCCCATGCCACTGAAACATGCTGGACTTTTCTAATCATATGACTGAGGCTATTTGAGTAGGTCTTTGTGGCTTGCCACAAAGATGCTAATTAGATGAAGAGGACACAGAAGATTTTCATCCACATGGCTCATTTGTACCCAACACATTGCTCAATAATGAGGAATGACAACAGTGGTGCATGTTTACATCCATGCAAAAGAGAGAGAGAGAGAGAGTTCTTTAAACATTACAGGACTATCGCAAACTATTTTAAAGGTTTTAATATATCATATCTGTACCTTTTTTTTTTTTTTTTAACAGTAACAGCAATTGATTTCACAACTGTTCGCTCCTTAACGGTAAGGACAAAAAATGACTGCCTAAACTGAATGTGAATGCCTATAGAATAAAAAGCATGAAAATGTGTACAAGCAGAGGTAGTCCCCAGTTTAAGAATGAGTTCCGTTCCCAAGGTCTGTCCTTAAGATGAATTTGTATGTAAGCCGGAACAGTGTTATTGTATAATACTGTATAAGTAGTATTGTGTAGTGAACTTGAACCATTATGTATTTAACTTGAATCACTGTGCATTTAACTCAAATTTTGCTACAATAGGCTTCATTCTTATCTATGGGTCATCTGTAACCCAGGCATTCTTAGCCCAGAGACTAGTGCTCATAATAATAATAAAGCAGACTATATTAATGTCTGTTAAGTATCAATGTTAAAGAATACTTCTATCACACTTTCAACAGAACTGATCTAATTTACAGACCAAAACCACACTATGTGGATTAGAATATAGTTATATTTTAGATTTCTAATTTCTCTCAATTTTTCAATTGTTTTCAACTTAAAACTATGCATCAAAATACATCTATTGGGGCAAGAAGTATACAAGGATTTTCTTGTAGATCTGTTTATAGTTTATAGAATGATGTGGAAGTATGATAGAATGGTCATAGCTGAATGTAAAGAAACATAAACAAACATCCGAACTTGAACAACTCATTTGGAAAGTTGGTCATATTGTCTGATATTACATTTCCTTTGCTTAATCTACAGTAGTTGCCCATAGACCTGTTATAGCACAATAATGTCTAGAGTTCAATTTGTACCTCAACCACCAAACTCATCTCCTGAGGCCCACATACTTCTCAAACTATGACAGTTTCCCTAATACTCCTGTTAGGATGGGAGGGAT